GATCTCCCTCCAGACGTCTGTACTCTCCCTCCGGACTTCATCCCTTAGCTCTTGCATATTTCTCTGCAGCTCTGGCAGCATGTTTATGATTTTTATTTTGAATTATTTTTCAGGGAGACTGGTTAGGTCTGCCTCTGCAGATCCTTTCTCAGGTGTAACTATCTTGGTCTGGACCAGATTTTTTTGCCTTTTCATGGTGATTGCAGTGGGTGTAGGCAGGTTTTGGGTGTGTCAGCTGGGAGAAGAAAGTCCTTTCCTGCTTGCTGGATGCCTTGCCCTTCTCTGCTGCCTGTGATGGCTATCTGCACTCCTGGAGCAGCCACCAGGTTAATCTCCTAAACTGCTGTGGGCAGGGTGTCTGTCAGAGCAGCGCGGAGCCCTGCGGGGAGTGGCAGGCACACCAGGTACGCTCCTCCGTGCTAGCGGTGACCCTGCCGGGCAGCTGTGTAGCAGCAGTGGCCTTTGGGTCCAGCCCGGGCGGCTGTGCGTTGGGCTGGGATTCCGGTCGGCTCCTGGAAGTGCGCCTGCTCCCTCTGGCTCTGCTGCTGGTGCACGCGGGGCTTTTCTGCGCAGGCTTCTACCGGGCTCTGGCTTCACTGCCGCCGGTGCGCGCGAGCCACGCCAGTCTCACCACTGCAGGCTAGCCTTGTGGAGCACGGATCTGCTCTTGGTTCCTTCTAGCGCTTCTGCCCCCAGCACATGCTCCCACTCTCCTGCTACTGGGCCTGTGTGTCAGGGTCCGCACCAGTTGGAGGAACTGGCAGGCTTCCTAGTCCTGTGAGGGGTTTCAGAGCTGCATTGCCTCTGTTAAGGGCGCCTAAGTTTCCCCAGTACTCCCAGCTGCCGGGACAACTTCGTCCAGCTATGGGGTCCCTGTCTCTTTAAGACTTGCAGAAAGCACTCGCTTTTCTTTTGTCTCAGGGGCGCCAGTTGTGGGGACCTGCCCCCAGGTTTTGCTTTTACATTTCTCTAATATCCGGCACCCCATGCACCTTATGTCTGCATTCTGGGTGCGGATTTCTAGAGCTGGTTGTTTAGCAGTCCTGGGCTTTCACTCCCTCCCAATTCTGACTCCTTTCTTCCCGCCGGGTTTTGCAGTGGGGGAGCATTCAGGTCCCACCTGGCCGTGGCTTGTATCTTACCCCCTTCGTGTGATGCTGAGTTCTCACAGATGTAGATGTATCCTGGCTGTTGTACTGCATCCACTGGTGTCTCTTTTAAGAATAGTTGTATTTATTGTATTTTCATAAATATATATGTTTTGGGGAGGAGATTTCCTCTTAACTACTCATGCAGCCATCTTCCCGTGATCCTACTTCTCACATTTTATAAACAACAAAAACCTCTCTCCTCACCACATCCCCCCAACACCAAATATCAACCCATTTCTCCACACTGTTTTAAGAAAAACACTCTAAAATAATTTTTATACTTGTAGTTGCCAATTCACTTCTGCCCCTGCCCCAACCTTGTTTAAAGTCAGTGAATTATAGATTTGCTGTGAAAAACAGTGTCCCTTGACTCCTTTCCCTATATCCCCCAAACTCAAAGCTTTTGCCTTCCATTCTTTTAGCTGACTCCTTTGGAATTTAATAACATGTTTATTTGAATTTTAAGAACATGTTTGTATGGTTAATTCTTGAACTTTATTTCAGTTTTTATAATTTTCAGTCTATGGAACATGAATATTTAGCTCTTTTCCCCAAACCTCCCTCTCATAAAAAGAATTTAGCCAGAAGTTTTTATATAGGCTTATAATCATTGTCTTTTAACTTGAATGTTTAGTACTTTTACATTTAATATAACTACTAAAGCTATCCAGATATAAGTCTCCCACCCTATCTTGTATTTAAGTGTGCTATCACTTTTGTGTTTCATTCCCACCTTTCTTGCCTTTTGTGGATTGATTTCTTAATTAAGTCATATTTTTCCCTGTACTAGTTTGGTATTGGTACTATGTAATCATGTTCCTATTTTCATAATTAGTTCTTCTACTAGTTTGTAGTTAATGCTTATAAGTATAAATATAATATTACCTAATCTATCAGTAAACTAGAATGACTAATCTAGCAATGTCTCAGTGTATCAATGGCTCAAGTTAATCAATAGCTTTACCTTTCTCTCAGGCAATATAGAGACCTCAGAACATTTGAAATACATTTACCTCTCCTGATTTATGCTATTATTATCAATTATTTTAATTGTATTTTAGTTGTGTTTTCTAATTATTAGGCATCATTATTTTTGTTATGTGCACTTAAGATGTACCTATTTTATTATTTTATTTGCTCATTATTCCTTCACAAATCTCATATTTCTCATCCAGAAGTCACTTTTGCCTAAAGAGATTCTTAAATTTAAAAAAAAAAATTGAACTCTTTTCATTTTAAAATTCCATTTTTATTTTTCTTTTGAAAATATCTTTTTTTTCATCCTTATTCTTTTACTGGCAATTGATTTGAGCACATTGAAGATACCATTTCACCTGCTTCAGTCTTCCATTATTTTTATTGAGAATTTAGTTGTTAATCTAATTGTCACTGATTTTTTTTTCTCCAGCATATCTAATGTTTTTTAGTCTTTGGTGTTCTGTAGTTTCACTGTGATACTTAGGTGTGAATTTCTTTTTATCTATTATTGGACCTCTTGAATTTGTGGATTAGTGCCTTTTATCAGTTCTGGCAAATTCCCAGGTAGTATCTCTTCAAACACTGTTTCTGCACCATTCTCTTTTTTTCTCTTCTTCCAGAACTCCAATTAAACATATATTGGATTTTCTCATTCTATTCTCTATGTCCCTTAATCTCTTTTCCTTATTTTCTCTTCTTTTGTTGTTCTGTGATACATTATATGTAATTCTTCTAACCTATCTTCCAATTCAGTAGTACCCATACCGTACTTCTTGGTCCAATAGCATAAGCATTACCTGGGAGTTTGTTAGAACTAAAGAACTCTGGCCCCATAATAGGTCAACTTTAATGTGCTCACAAATTACCTAGAGATTTATTAAAATTCTGTTTCTGATTTGTAGGTCTGGAGTGGGACCCAGGATTCTGCATTTGCAACAGGCTACCAGGACATGCCGAGGCTGACGGAACGAGGCCCTCACTTTGAGAAGATTCTAGTTCACTCAGACAATCAACAGCTCTGTATATTCTGCTATTAAATCCATTCATTGAATTTTTTATTTTGATTTTTTTCTTATTTCTAGAAGTTCCCTCTAGTTCTTTTTCAAATTTTCTAGGTCATTTTGTACAGTTTCCTATTTTCTGCAGATATTTTCAAGCTTCTCTTTTATAGATTTCAACACACTAAACATAATTGTTTTATAGTCTGATAATTCCAACATGAAAAGTTTTCATGAGTGTGTTTCTATAGTTTCTTGCTCATGATGCCTTGTTTCTTTGTGTGCTTGCTAATATTGTACTGAATAATATTCATAGTCCTTGAAATATATTTCCAGAAATTATTGAGGTCTTAGATGAAAGGTGCTTTATTTCCATAACTGATTTGTTTTTATTTATTAGGCCTAAGGGCTACTAGCCAGGGACTGCTTTAAACTAAATTGATAGTTTGATGTTTTTCAGACCCCTGATTTGAATTTTAACTGCAAATCCAAGTGAGGGACATCTTGTGGTAAAATATATAATTTCTTAGAGATGTTTTTCTTCCTTCCTTCTGTCCAGGTCAGCATCAAGGAAATTTTGCTTATAGTCCTCTATGGGTGAGGATGGGTTAGGTTTATTGCTTGTTCAACTGTATTCTAAGGTAGCAACCCTTTGAGAATCTCAGATTAACAGGAAAGAGTCTTGTCCACTTAAAAAACAAGTTTTGGGCTTTGACGTCTTTCCCCCTGACACCAAAGATCATCTTTACTCTGACTGGCTGATGTCCTCAGGGAAAAATTACTGTAAGATCAGTTTACCTGTCAGGATTGCTTCTTCCCCTTCAGTTTTGCCCTAGTAACTCTTTTTATCTTGTCGTCTACTAACTCTCTTTATCTTCTTTCATGCTATTTTTTCTCCTGCTTTGTTACTATTTCTTGGCCAGAGACTGGTAAAATCTAACCCACTAAATTTAAAAAAATTTAACTAGCATGAGTCTTTTAAATGAAACTCAGGTCATGCTACTTTGTTTGCTCCAAACCTTCCTGTGGTTTTCCAGATCACTCAAAGGAAACTCCAGTCTTCACCATGTCCTGCAAGGCCTGGCTGACCTGACTCTCCACAACTTCTCAGACCTCAGTCATCTCTCCCATTTAAACCACTGCTCTGTCCCAAGCTAGACAACTAGATTATGTATAAAATAGGTATTTTTTTCCTGAATAAAAAACTCCTGCATATCCATAAGAAAAACACAGTCCAATAGAAAAAGTTACATTGAAAATGCACATAACCTATCACGCAGCAATTCTTGTTTTGTGACTGAGAGAAATCACCACATATGTGCTCAAGGAGACATAAAGAATATTCAGAGCAGCATTGTTTACAATTATGAAAAAGTGGGAAAAACCAAACTGAACTTCACAGGGCAAATAGATACATGAACTGTATTTGATTTATTAAATGGAATTCTATAGATTTAAAAAGAATGAACTATATTGGTAGTTGCCAGTGTCCATAAATGCCCAAATACAAAGCTGAGTAAAAAAATGCAAATGAATATGTATATAATTTATATACATCTAATATCACAAAAAATTATATAGATTATTTGTGGATATACACATTTCTAGTAAAAGTTCTTTAAAAAATGGATGAGAAGCACATGTTTACTTCAGAATAGATATTTCCCCTGAAAATGGTAGGAAGGATAAGAGAAAAAAGTTGGACTTAGCTAAAGCTAATGTTTTTGTTTTTAAAGAGAATGGAAGCAAATACAACAAAATATTAACATTTAAACTAGATGCTAGGTATGTATTACATAAATATTTTTCTGTATATTTGAAATATTTCCTAAGTATTCTAAAAACTCACCATGATATCTTTATCAAAAAAATCCCCAACATGCTCATTAAAATATTTGCTAATATTAGTGAAATTGAATTAAAATTTTAAAAGTGAGATCATAGATCTATTAAGCAGTTATTAGTCAGTACTCAAAAGGAGAAAATAGTATTTTAAAAATATAATAATGCCACCTACAAGAAATGAGCTACAACTTTTCCAAAAAGATAATGATAAATGTTTAAAATCAGGTTAGTGAAATTATTAATGCTACTTCATTTTTCCAATTTTATTTTTAATATTGCTTTAAATGAATTAGTCCCCAATGCTACCCTCAGAAAGCAGTGGAGGCAATGAGTCAGTGTTTGGGCTCTCAAGCCAGACTTTCTGCATCCAAATTCTGGCTTTACTACTTACTAGTAGTGTGATTTTTGAGCCTCTCACTGTTGAATCATCTGCCATTCCTCTGAAGGTCATCAGTCTTTTTTCTCTGGCTGTGTTTAAGATTTTCTCATTTCTCCTTTTGTGTTTTGCAGTTTCCTTGTGTTGTGATAGTTGTGGAACTAATTTTATGAACACTGGTTGGAATATATTGGACTTCCAAATCTGTGGACTGATGACTTTCATCAGTTTGAAAAAATGAGCTTTAATGTTTTTGGCTCTACCCAGACCCTTTTCCCTCTCCTTCTGGAATTCTAAAATTATTCTGTAGAATTCTAGTTACATCTGGTTATAAAAATTAACATGTTAGAATTTTTATCCTCATTGTACCTTTATTCTGTTTCATTATTTTTATTCTCTTACTCCCTCAGTGATTTCTTGGCTGAGTCTAATTTGCTGTAATTACATTAATTTCCATTTGTAGACAACTATTTGGTTCATTTCCAAATATTGGACATTTTTAATAGTCACCTGCCCTTTCTTCATATTTTCAATCCCTTCCTTTACTTCTTTAAACATAATAAACATATTTTATATTCTGTGCCCAGTAATTCCAATACCTGAAACCTCCTCAGGTATGCTTCTTCTGTCTCTTGTCTCAACTGGCTGTCACTTATGGTGACCTTCTTCCCCACAGGTTTGTGACTTTTCTGAATGTGAGCTTTATTTCTTAGAATTTTAATCATGGGAATTATTTACAGACTGGGTTTCAGGTGGATTCTATAGGTAAGACCAACATTTGCTGATGCCTGCTTGAAATCCCTTTAAACTAAACTCTCAGTTTGAAATGTTTCAGACCATCCAGGTTGTATGCCTCTGGGCTTCAATGCATATGTGGGCTAGCTTGTGATTACGAATTATCTGGGGACATTTTTGTTTTCTCTTTTACTCAGTAAAAAGTTCAACAACTACAATTCCATTACTCTCGAATGATGGTGGTGATGTTGTGGTCATTTCCAGGTCACCTTTTAAAATGAAGGTTTAGCTCTTTCAGTTTCCACATTAATTGGGAGATCTAGCATTACACTCCTAATTTGGGAAGGTCCTGGGCTTTGTTTTTTGTTCTCTTTTACCAAAACCATGAAAATCTAAATTCAGATCTCCTGAGTACCAAATGCTCTCAAGGCAATTTCCAGGTTCTCTTGACAATTCACCCTGTTTTTGGCCTATGTGTATGCCTTATCAACTTATACTTACATTTTTATGTTTTTATTTTACCTTGTGTTTTTACTTGTTTTCCTTGCAGGGCTGGTCAGGTCATCTTTCAGAGCTTGAAGTCATATTTGCTCCTGATACTATTAATAGGAAAAGAGCACTAAATATATCAGCCATTCATGTTTTTAACAAATATTTATTGGCAATTAATAACTGCCAGACAGTGTTCCAGGTTGTTGGAAAAATGAAGTCCTTATCCTCAAGAATTCTAGTGAGTAATATTCTAGTAAATAAAAGTATCCTGTGGCACGAAGAAAAGTAAACATGGTAAAGGGAATAGAAGGTGACAATATAATTTTATTCTAAGTGGGGTGATAGGGAAGACCTCTTGGATAAAGTAGTATTTGAGCAGAGACTTTAAGGAAGTGAGAGAATAAGTGAAGTGATTTGCTTGGGCAAGAACTCTCTAGGCTGCGTTTAAAGAGTTCAAAGTACAGTTTCTAGTGCAGGAGTATCCTTAGTGGGTCCAAGAACAGTAAGGAGGCCAGTGTGGTGAAAGTAGAATGAGCAAGAAGAAGGAAAACAGAAAATGAGGTCACACTGGTTGTAGCATGCCAGATCATCTAGGGCTTCAAGGCCCTGGTAAGGACTTTGGGTCCCACTTTGAGAAAGGAAGTCAGTAAAGGTTTTGACTAGAGCAGTGAGGTGGGCTGACATTTTTAAATTATGCCTCTGGGGTTCTGTGGAGAATAGACTGCAGGGGAAAGAGAATGGAAGCAGGAAGACCAGTTGGGAGGTTATTAAAATAGTTGCATATCTAGGACCAGGGTGGTAGCGCTGGAGGTGATGGGAAATGGTTGGATTTTGGACATATTCTGAAGAGCCAAAAGAATTTGCCAATGGATTGAATGTGGCATTGGCAGTGGAAGAGAAAGAGAGAAAGAGAGAGAAGTCAAGGATGACTCCAAGGATTTTGGCCTGAGAAACTGGACAGTGGAGTTGCCATTTGATGAACTGGGAAGACTGCGGGAGAAGCAAGTTTGTGGAGGCAAGCAGGACTTCAGTCTTGACAGTAAAGTCTGAGAGTCTTCTAGGTGTCTGTGATGATTAATTTTATGTGTCCACTTGGAAGATGTCTTGAATGAGATTAACATTTAGATCAGTCAACTCTGGGTAAAGTAGATTGCCCTCCACAATAAGGATAAGCCTCATCCAATCAGATGAAGTTCTGAATAGAACAAAAGGGACTGGCCTGAGAGGCAAGAGGAAATCGTCCACCAGACTACCTGCAGACCTCAACTGCACCATTGGCTCTCCTGGGTCTCCAGCCTGCCAGCTCACACTGCAGATTTTGGATTTCTCAGCCTCCATAAACAGATGAGCTAATTCCTGATAATAAACCTATCTACCTATCTATCCTATTGGTTCTGTTTCTCTGGAAAGCCCTAATGTAATACAAAACCAAAAAACAGTGACAAGCAGCTGGATATGTAAGTCTGGAGTTCAGGGGTGAGTTCTAAGATGAGTACATAAATTTGTAAGTCATCAACACTAAATTGTATTTGTGGGATGAGACCAGAGGATAAAGAGAGATGGAGAAGAGATATGGTCCCAGGTCTCAATCTTGTTAAACTCCATTATTTAGAAATTGGAAAAGAACCAGAAAAACACTGAAAAGATCTGCCAGTAAGGTAGGGTGAGAATAAAGAGTGAGTGTACCACAGAAGACAAGAGGGTGTTGAAAAGGAGGGACTAGCTGATCAGCTGTTAAATGCTACTAACAGAATGTAAAAAATGAGACATTTGCAATGTATTTTGCTAAGATTAATTAGCAAATACACCAATGTGCAAAGGAGACACCTGCTATAATGATCAATGTTACACATCAGCAGAAACTACCATTAAAGTCTCCCAGTGATCTATAATACTCACCTTCCTGCCAAAGAAACCAGTGTTCCAGTGCTTCGTAGTTCTTACTCTGTTCCCACAATACCGTCTTCATATGATTTGTGTACCTCAATTGTTGCTCTACCAGTGTATTACTTAGATGATGAGAGTTGGGAATTCTAAGCTCACTTTTAAAGATAATACTTTAACTTGAAAGCTCCATAAATTTATGTATTCATCTTAGAACTCACCTCTGAACTCCAGATCTAGAATCCAATTCTTGTTCTAAAACTAGTGTCTCCTGTGCTGTGATTCTACAACTTCTTTATCTAATAAATGGATATATATGCCCAGGTTAGTAAAACATTCAAGTCAATAATCACAATACGCTGCAATAAATTCAGGAAAGACAGAATAAGTTTCACATTTAATTAATCCAGAGGCTCTGGCTCTTTTGAAATGTTTTTAGGTGGAAGCTCCAGAAGTTAAATTACTGATGACTAACCAGATCAATTGTTTATGCCTCACAAATATGCTTTAAATGTTTAGGACACAGCTATAAAAGGTCTTTAAACAAAATGATAACTTACTGAACAAATATCTATTATTTATATAAGTTAAAAATAACATCATGTAGATATTTTACATTTCTGGATAAGTTTAATTATTGTAGGGCTGATAGAAAACTGGACTCCAATTCTTAACATTTTATTTAATTATGATACAGAGAACACTCATTCAACATATACTGTGAATCTACAATTTCCTGTAGGCAATAGGAAGTAGGGATAGATTTGCAAGCTCACAAAAGGATGAGGAGATTATACATGTAAACTATTATTTTCAAGAATGAAACATAGAGGGAAGGGCTACTGTAATCCAGGAAGAAGGGGCGAGCACAGCTAATGATCTTCTTTGATCTTAACAGCTTCCTGAAGTAGCTATTATCACGCTGATTTTGCATGACCCAGATATGGGGCCTCCGAGCCTGGGTAGGTGGTACCTAGACCCGCGTATTCTGACAGCAAGTCCGCAGCTGAGATTCTGTGAACGGAAGGGTAGTCATGCCTTGGCACTCCTCTTCGTAAGGAGTTAATGTACTTCTTTGTAAATCAACTTTTCGCAGGAAAATCCTAATAAATGTTAGCTAATTCCTCTGATTTAAGTCGCTTCAACTCAGAGACAACTTGTTCTATTTTCCTTGTGGGACTCAAACAAATTTGAATTTGAAAGACATCTGCCGTCCGAGGAGAGGTAAGTCTCGCTGGCCAGAGCGACATAATCTGTTTGGCTCCAGGGCCATCTGAATTTCGTTGCGTTTACACAACGCCTAATCCAAATCCAAACCCACTGACTGCTGCAGTTTAATAGTTTCAGCAAGACTAGGACGCGTTCTCAACGTGTCACCGGGCCTGCACTTTCGCCCAAGCTTGGGCCAAGGCGACGAAAAAAGAGGGAAAGGGCCCGCATTTCCTGAGTGAAATGTTATTTATAGCCAGGACCGGGCAAGTCAAAGCCGACGACAGCTGCGCTGCAGCGCGGTGCCACCGCCATGCAAGCAAGACGCAAACGGCTCACCTTCACAGTCGGCCCCCAGACCGTGCGCCGACCTCGGGTTGGAGACCCAGAGCCCGGCGCAAAAGGCCATCACTGCGCCGCATACTGAGCCAGGAGCTCCAAGCGCCTCGCCACCTGCGTCCACCAATAGCTGCCCTCCTATCACTAGGGGTGGCTCCAAGACCCTGGACAGACGAGCTAGCGGTTCAGAAAGAATCTTGCCAGGAGATGCTAGCACAAGTGACGCAACTCAACTTTGAGTTTCCATTGGCTCCCACGAAAAGGGCATCATAAGGAGGCGGGGCGAAAGAGCCCCTACCCTGCCTTCGTCTTCTGGCGCGTGCGCACTATCCCACACGCCGTGCACCTCCAGCGGGGTTAGGTGAGGAGCACTAAACCTATTCGTCGACTGCTTGAGGGAAGGCGGGATCTTCACGCTGATTGGCGGCAACGCGGGAAGCCGCGGCGGAGGGACGGGACGCAGTGGGCGGACGAGAACGTGAAGTATCCGCGGTGCCTGATGGGGCTGTTCCAAGGCCCGAAGCTGCTGTTGCTGGGGAACTGCACGTTAGTGCAGCCGCCGTCGCTACCGCCTCATGGCGGCCATCGGAGTTCACCTGGGCTGTACATCAGCCTGTGTGGCCGTTTATAAGGTGAGGGACTCGGAAGGAGCTGGACTACTGGCTGATGGCCACCCGGTTGTCTGGTCGCCTGCAGGGATGTGAACTGTGTGTCGCTGGTTTAGGAACATCGCGCGGAGGAGCGCTAGTTACTGCAGGAAGTTTCTAGGCGAAGGTTTGGGCGGATCTGGCCTCGTCTCCCGCGGCTCCTCCGGAAAGCCCGCCGCACGGCCGCGCGGGCTCCGGGGACGTCAGGGCCGCAGGAGAGTCTCAGGGACGTTCTGGGCAGCGGGGGCCGGAAGGGGTCTTGGGACTCAGGGCTTCAGGAGGCCCGGAGGGACTCGGGGTCGTCAGGGCTTCAGGACGCCCAAACTGTCTCGAGAGCGTTACGGCTGCAGGGGGCCGGGAGGGTGTCAGGGATTACGTGGCCTCAGGAGGCTGGGAGGTGGGGCTTGAAAGTCTGGGACCTGGACGTTTCTGAACGTTTGCCAGGAAAGGGCGGGTGGCGGCGGTCTGAAACTGGAGCAGTGGGTCCCGCGAAGCATATAAAGCGAATTGATGGTGCGTGCTGTACTGACTCTTAGCCTTTTTGGAAATAAGAGAACTTGACTAGGAGTTGTGGGGAGACAGAAGGAACAATAATAGTAAACTCCCCTGATACTAGTCTCTCGTTTAAATGTCAAATAATTTGTAAGGAAAAGTCAAAGAGATTAGTGCTGCTTAATATGTAGAAAAGGGAATAAAGACATATTTGTAAGGGAAGGCAGAGCAGTATACTTAAGTATATACTGCTTATTAGTCTATATTGAAAGGTTATTGTATTAGGTCCAATTATTGACAGTGCAGAGCAACTGAAAAAATAAGGCAGTTCTTCACAGAGTGTTGGCCTTATATAAAATCTAGTTTTTAATAACAGCAATGCAATTAAACCTACAAGTTTCAAATACTGATTTAGCAATTTTTCTTTCTACATATATGGCAAAGTAACAGTGGCCCACATATGTCTGAATGTGTCTGAGACTTTGTATTTCATCTCAAAAGGGCTAATGTATTTTTCTCCAGGATGGCCGGGCTGATGTGGTTGCTAATGATGCAGGTGACAGAGTTACTCCAGCTGTTGTGGCTTACTCAGAAAATGAAGAGGTATGATTCCCCTCATTTTTGCACTTTGTATATAAAAATTACATGCATTATAATATATATTGCTCTTTTTCAGGTTGTTGGATTGGCAGCCAAACAAAGTAGAATAAGAAATATTTCAAATACAGTAATGAAAGTAAAACAGATTCTTGGCAGAAGGTATGGAATAAAATAATACTTTTACATGTGGTAATAAAAGTATGTTCATACATTCTAAGCATAATGTGAAACGAAACTAGAAACACCAGTTTGTTTTTTCATTGCTTTTTATGACTGAGTCATTTCAGAGAGTACCCCAGTATGCTTTTTCCTTTGACGATTAGTATTGAGTTTTCTCAAGGGTGGGATTCACTCAGACATTTGTTTCTTGTTGACAGGTCTGTTAGTATTGTTAAATGCCAACATTTATATAGTTCTGATAATTTGTGTCATTCAGAGGTAGTAGTTTGAACTTTTCACATTTTTATATTTTTAACTGAGAGAACTTCAAAGATTTGGGGGAATTTGAAGATTTCTTTGCAATGCACTTGAATGTTATAAAATCTATTACATTTGGTCATTTATGTAGAAGCTATTGATTTTCTTCCTTTGGTCCTTTTGTGACACTTTTTGGGAACTAACTTTTCCAGTTGGCTTACCAATTGAATCATTAGAGAAACAGCTTAATTAATGTCTTAAGTAAGAATCAGGTTAATCACCTGTCAACTTTAATTGAAAGATTAAAGAAGCTTGCTTCTCCAGACTTCTGTCTCCTCCAATTATGGATTACCATAATAATTAGAGGTTTTCATTTTCACTGGAGTAGTAGTACTTGATATAGTGTTTTTAAATTTTCAAAGTGCTTTCACATCTATTATTTAATCCCTTCAAATCCCTGTAAGATTGGTTGGGCAAGTTTTATCCCTCCCCATTTGTAGATGAGAAAATTAAGACATATTAATTAGGGGCTAGACTAGATAGGACTGCAGTTCAGGACTTCTAACCTTAATCCCAGGTTCTTTTTACTTTGTTCAGTTGAAAATTTAAATAGAAATTTCTTTGCATTGATCTTAGGATTTGGGGATTGTAGATTAGATTTAATATTTATTTCTTCTATATGTATTTTTTATTAACCCTTACCTATCTAAACTGAACTCAGTATTTATTTTTTTCTTAGGATATTTATGCACTATGCCAAAAATGATAGCATTTTGGAGGGAATTCAAATATTTGTGATGATAAATGCATTCTCATATCCATTTACCTATCAACAAAACTTAGTACTGAGCCTTTTGACAGTAAATTTGTTGGTCTGAAAAATTTTCAAATTATAAACCCTGCTTAAGTTGTAGATGGATCTTGAAGCTAGATTCGCTGTAAGCAGCCCACGATAAGGTTTTTCTAAACTAAACTTCTTTTGAGGTAATTATAGATTTACATACTGTTGTAAGAAAAAATACAGAGAGATCCAATGTTTTATTGGATTTACTACTTCCTCCCAATGGTAACATCTTGCAAAACTGTGTACAGTATCACAACCAGGATACTGACATTGCTACAGTCAAGATACAGAACATTTCCATAGACCTGTTCCCTGATAGCCCTGTTGTTTTATACTGCTATTTTGGGAAGAAGATAGGAGTTGTCTTTTGTTATGTTATGCATAAAGCTTTGTATTAGCAGGAACAATCTAAGCTGACTTTTCTGGCCCTGACAGTTAATTTTTAACAAAAGAGTGCAGCAGTAATAGTAAGATGGGTAATACATAGCCACACCATGCTACTTAGGCCAAGGTTAGTAAAGGACCAGTGCCCCTCAGACATACTGCTACACCAAGGTCCTCTTAGCACTTCTGAGGGAGTAGCCTCATGGTCAAGGTGTTTTCCCTTTCGGGCTGTCTACTTGCAAGAGGATGGTGATTTTTACAGATACACAGTCGTACCAGATCTCAGCCTTGGAAGCATTCCACCCTTTGGAGGAGCCAGTCCCTTTGGTACCAACCCAGTAAGACCCTTTTTAGCCCCTGGTCCAGTACCCACCCTGGGCAAACCCCCAAAGTGGGGCTTTCTCAGGCTTGGCATCCTGTCTGTTTGTGACCTACTTACAGGTGGTGCCACTTTACTTGCTGCCACAATTTTCCTTACATCCTCCCTGTAACTCTCATTCCCCTGTGGCCTTCTAGCCAGAAATGCGGTCCTTGGACCCGGCTTCTCAGCAATTAGCCTTGAGAGGGAAGAATCGGCTGGCTCCTGGAAACACACTGAGAGTACAGAGCTTCCCCACACCATCAGATTTGCACCTTGCTGCCGAGGAACTTCCTTCAGCTAGCCTTCCTTCCCAGTCCACTATGGCCAGTTCTAATAGTAGTGCAGGCATCCGGTGGTCCCGGCAGGAGACAAGAACTCTTCTCTCCATACTAGGCGAGGCAGAGTATATTCAGCGCCTCCAGACTGTGCATCACAATGCAGATGTCTATCAGGCTGTGTCTAAGCGAATGCAGCAGGAAGGCTTTCGCCGCACCGAACGTCAGTGCCGCTCCAAATTTAAAGTTCTGAAGGCATTATATTTAAAGGCATATGTTGCCCATGCCACCAGTATGGGTGATCCACCACACTGCCCATTTTATGATACATTGGATCAGCTTCTCCGAAATCAGATAGTGACTGACCCAGACAACTTAATGGAGGATGCTGCTTGGGCCAAGAACTGTGATCAGAACTTAGTGGCCTCTGACACCCCAAGGGAAGAGGGAACAAGCATTCTGAGAGCAAAAAGGACTCATGCTGCAGATCATCAGCCTATCTTGAAAACAGTTAAGGAATCAGATGAGGATTGTCAACTGAGAATCAGTGACCTGATGCAAGAAACCAGTGACCTTGAGGACTCCTGGGATGAATCCTTGGGTGCAGGTAACTCCCAAGCATGTGAAGGATTACTGGGGTCCCACGTCACTTGGTTCAAAAGAGCAGTATATGTTTGGATGGTGTTCTCTTAAGCATTGCTCCTATTTCTGCCCCCTGCCCTCTTTTTTAAAAACCTAGTGGTAAGATAAAGGGCTCTGGTTTTTAAAAGCAATGACCCTACATATGTATGGTGTTAGAGCTCTTTGAATACAGAAGTAGTCTTTAGAACCCAACTAGTTTTGGTACTTTTTATAAGGAGTACTTAGGAATTTATGGCTATAGAATGGGTTGGATAGCTACTTGGAAAGGGGTTCAGGAAGGCAAGGGGGAGGTTTTGGAGATAAGGAAACAACAGGCCAGAAGTCCAGATTAAGGAAAGGAATTCTTCCTAGTCCCTTATGGATAGAGGCCTTTCCAGGAACTACAGTCGTTTTGTACTTGTCTCTCAACTCTGCTGCTGGCTGCAAGCATTCCCTTAGCAGGAATGTCCTCTGCAACATTGTTGCTTTGTTTTTCAGGGTGCTCTCAAGGGACCCCCAGCTACAGCAGTTCCCACCACCTTTTCAGAGGTGCAGTTGCTCCCTGTCAGAGCAGCCCCATGACCAGAATGGGTGTGTCCAGCGAGCCCAGTCCCTGCGCCAGCTCCAGCCAGGACACTCCTGGGAGGGCCTGCACACGGCGACCTCCAGTCTCCTCCAGAGTCCCTTTTCTTTCTGGTGGGGATAGGCCTTTGACCAGTGAGCCCCCTCCAAGGTGGGCAAGGCGAAGAAGGCGATCAGTGGCCAGGACAATTGCAGCTGAGTTGGCAGAAAACAGGAGATTGGCACGAGAACTTTCAAAGCGTGAGGAAGAAAAATTGGACAGGCTGATCGCCATTGGCGAAGAGACCAGTGCTCAGCAGGATGCTGCCAACGAGCTCCGCAGGGATGCTGTGGTCGCAGTCAGACGCTTGGCAACAGCAGTGGAGGAGGCAACTGGTGCTTTTCAGCTAGGGCTTGAAAAATTGCTCCAGAGGCTAATCTCAAATACCAAAAGTTAGGAACTGGTTACACAAGGGTGTATTTCCTAAACTACTAGATGCCCGGTTCAGCACCTGCCTTCTGCTTCCTTGTCCATGTCCTCAGAAAAAGAAGAGTGGATGAACCATTAATGTGCAGAATAGTAGGAACATACATGCTAGTTATTTTTCCCAAACTTCTCTGCTAATTGAAAGACCTTTCAGATGTGTGTGAGAGGTGGCCTAGTAGAAAACTGATGGAGCCAGGTCCAGAGAACAAGTTAGCTGGGGCTTTGTCACTGATGTGAGGCAGTTTAGTTTACCTCATATACCAGTTTCCTCATCTGTAAAATGGGGGCTACGTAATAATTCCTGACCTGCCTACCTCACAGGGTTGTTGTGAGGATCAGATGGCCAATAGATGTGAAAGGGTTTAAACGTTTAAAAGCACTATATATGTGTAAGTTATTAATGTATATAACCTTGGCCAAAGTAAGGCAAGGGTGAGGCGCATTAGTTGACAGGATGTAGAATTATGGTTGTGTACTGTGACCTCATTGCTTGAGTCATTACTAGTTAAACTTGACTGCTTCCCAGAGTTAAAGATCTTCGTTTTTTAAAATCCTTCTTAACTCATTAGACTAATAGACACAACGTGTATTTGTACCTGTATTTCATATTTTCACTGCTGTGTCTGTGACACTTACTAGTAAGCACTCAGTAGTTCAACCATCTTTCCCACCATTTTACTGGTTGTTATTCTCATCACAGTAAGGATATATTCAGAACTGACAGGGAGTCACAATTGTATGTTATGCTTTATATTGATTATCTTTGATAGAATTGGCTCTTTTATAAAATATTAAGTGTAAGTAAATACTTTGCATTCCATATTATTTGGGTCCCTTTATATACATAACTATATATCTTTAAGTTTGGGTTACCATTGAACATCATGGAAACAATTTGGATTATATCAATTTCCCAAATGCTTTTAGCTAATTTCATTCTTTTCTGTTAGTCTTTTTCTGTCTAGTATGTTACAGAAGGCAAGCCCTAGAAAGTTGTCTTCTAAAGAACTTTCCAAAGTCACTTTTTCTCATTTGGTGTAGACAAAAGTTCACCTAGTTAATGGCAATATGGTGGAAGAGAGCAGCTTTGGGAGCAATTGAGGGTGATGGGGATAAACACTGCCGGCATTAGATAACTCCTTCTAAGCATAGGCCCTCAACAGAAAAGCCCTCTTCCCACCCCCAAAATACACACACACACACACTTCCTTTGGGGGATCTCAAGGTGTTGAGCCCTATTTCCAATTTACTGTAGAAGGGGAGCCATTATTGGCCATCATTAAGTTAACTTAAAGCTTTTAGTGGTTTACTTAGTACTTTCAGGAAATAAAAACAGAAGATACGAACTTAAAAAGCTGTCCTCCAATCTACAGGCTAAAAAAAAATGGACATATTGGGAGTGGTTTAGTTTTATATTTTGTAGGCTTCGTTGCTTATCTAAATGGTGGAGTACACATAGGTGAAGAAATGGTCAAAACAAGTGAGAACATACTTGGAACCAGGAACAGATAGCAAGCAAGCAAGCTGCTCTGATGAATGGGTGATATATGTAGGAGACAGCTGGTGTAGAATACACTGGAATCTAGTTAGAATGCTTGGTTTCTAACCCTGTCAGTTTGTTACATTGGGCAAATCTCCTGCCCTTTTGTGCCTCAGTTTCTCTCTAAAATGAGCGATATGTATTAGATGAGTTTTCTAGTACCTTCCAGTTTTAAAAAAATTCTATAGAAGTGACATAACAAAAAATGAAGTTTTACTTGTAACATTTTCAGTTATAGCAGCATATTAATGTATGTTTGAGATACTGGTAACAATTGTATTTTAAGGAAGCATTTTATGGTGTTAATATTCATTAGTGTATCTTGAACTTCTGTAAGCACGCCAGACATAGATTCCTTGCTTTAAAGGATCATATATTAAGACATTGCAATGGATATATATGTATGTGGATATATATGTAGTATATGTATATCACGTGCATTTTCTCCATTGTTTTTGGCCATTATATGGAAGAATTTGTGTTATAAACAGATAACACTAATGTACATAGGTAGACTTTCTGGGAAAACAGGAAAGTACTTGAAGGAGAGTTAGGCCTGTACTGTATTAATCTATAAATGGTAGCAAAGTATATAGGCAGGGATTTATCCAGGATAAGTGCTAAAGAACAGAGGAGTTAAACGTCAGAGGAAAGTAGCATTGTGAAAATCTATGGGTGAAGAAGTAACCTTAATGGGATAAACTAAAGGGAAGGGTCTTTAAGAAGTAAACTGAAAAAAACGGGCAAAATATTATTAAGAGGGGGGACGTTGTAAAAGAGGAGGCTATGTGAAGGAAAACAAGCCCAGTGATCCTGCCTAAGCTCTAGGCCTAACCATTCCTGCCTGTCCATCCTTAGACAGGTCATCTCACCATTCTGTGACTCAGGTTCCTCACTTATAAAGCAGGAAACTTAACAACTTCTACCTACCTCACAGGAATGTTGTGAGGGCCAATGAACAGGTGAATGTGAAAGCTCAGGCGTGGGAGGCACTGCTCTGTGAAATAGTGGGAAGAAGACACTGGAGCACAGCACATTCATGCTGTTGTGTCAGGCCCCAGGGCCTGCTGACTATGCAAGAAGCATCTAGAAATGGGGAGGAAGAAAAAATGGCATTGCTAGGAGGGGTTGTGATACAGTGGTAGGATTCACACTCTGCCTCCTAAGACCCTGATGTAAATGAGGTGCTGTATATACAAAACTCCCACCACCCTTTGTTTTTCTGTTACGTACAATCCTGGTGTGGACAAATAAAGTTGTTACTTGTATGTAGCTGTGGGTCAGTCCACTACTTTCTGGCGATATCTGTGATCATTTGTCATCACCTCTCTTCTCTGTTTTATGCTTCTGTAATCTGCTAGCTGATCTCCAGGGTCTTGCCTGTATTTGGCCCTAAAAGCTATGTGTGCTTACTGTCCTCAAGGATAGAGGCCCTCTTTGCATGGCAGTTGAGGAATAATTTTCCATTTCTAAGAGTTCTATAAATTCCATGAAATATCCTTTCCTTGCAAAGGATCTCGTCTGACTGGTATTAGGTAGCTTACACATAGTAGGATAAATTATCCTGGTTGAATAAAATTGAAAACAACCAGCTAAGTGTCATACCAAATTTACATTGGTGCAAAAAATAGAAAAAATTACTATGGACACACTGCATCTTTTTTTCTTACTCTTAAAATTTTTTGTCCAGGATGTAGTCTAAATATTGGGTTTAGAAATAGGGAGGAAAAGAGGGTTTAGTGGAAAGTACTAAACTTTGTATTGAAGATCTGGATTCCTGTCAGTTCTGCCATTAATTAGCCATGTAACTTTGGGTAAGTTACTTACCTGTTTCCTCCTTGTCAATTTTTAGGTGACAGAGAAGGAAATAAGGAACCTGCCAGTATTCCTGGCAAAATGCTAAGCCAAATTAGAATTCAAACCATAGCCCCTTTTGTTTTCCTCTTATGTAACAAGTTAAGAGTTTTTAGATGTTTAGTAACCCTCCAGCAGTTAGCTACTATTAATTTTCACTTCTTTTATTAAACACTGAAGACTGGTCTCTGAACAGAATAGCTACAGCCCTTGGAAGAAGAATATAGTCTACTTCATCTTAATTCCTAGATGAAATTAAACCAAGAATCAGATTCCTGTCTGCACAAGAAGCAGAAGTTCTTCAGTCATTTACCATCTTACTGGGAAGTGGTCTGGTAAAGTGTAAACAACACTAGACTGAAAAGATTTGGGATCAAGTACTGACTGTGCCTCATTGACTCTCTGAACCTGTAACCTCTAAAATAATACCTGTCAAACTAACCCCATTTAGGTGTGGAGAACAAGTGAGGTAATATATGTGAAAACATTTTGTAGTCTGCGTAAACTGGCATTATTTTGAGCAATGTAATACACTTTTAATTTTTTAATTGCTATTCACATTTATTTAGTACCTACTTTGTATAGGACATTTTGGGTCTATCTGTGATATTACTCTGCCCCTTTCATATATAACATTTGTAATTTTGCCCATTCTTTTGGTTTTGGGTGTTGATTCATGATCAGAAGCCAAGCAACACAGGTTGTGGTAGGTATTCTGGTTTGCCCTTACTTTGCAATCCTAATCTCCTTTTGTCCTTTTCACCTCAGTGGTTGGGTCTTCAGGATCATAGATGTGAAAGGATATGACAAAATAATTGATAAAACACCCCCAAATGTATAACATCTTATTAATAACAGCAAGAGCAGAACAAAATAAGAGCTGTTTACTTTGAAATGGGCTGATAAACCCTTTAATAGTGTTACTGTAACCATTGTAAATACTACATCCATTTAATCCAATCATCTGTAAATTTCAAGATTGGTCAATATTAAGCAACTTAATTTTATTTATACTTTTTTATTGTATTGAAAAAATATAGTCTTCTCTAAACCTGATACATTAACAATGCTGATTTTAATATTTAACTATCTTTATTTTTATGGACAGCTCTGATGATCCACAGGCTCAGAAATACATCATGGAAAGTAAATGTTTAGTGAGTATGGTTCTATTACTACTTCTCTATTACACTAATTGCCAAGGTCTTAACCTATTATACTGATTTGAAACTTTGTATTTTTATTAAAATTATTTATTTAACACACTTAAAATTTCCTTTATAGGTCACTGAAAAAAATGGGAAATTACGATACAAAATAGATACTGGAGAAGAAACAAAATTTGTTAACCCAGAAGATGTTGCCAAACTGATATTTAGTAAAATGAAAGGTATTGAACAAAAGAAAAGATCTTTTGAAAGTTGACCTTAAAAAAATAATTGGAGGTATTTTGATCTGGGGAGAAGCAGGGGATTGCAGATTAGCAATAGGGAGACCTGAACACTAAACCTGACCAGACCATTAATTGGTCATATGACCTTGGTTAATTGAATTATGTTTCTTGTTTCTGGTATTCCTAGAAGCAAGGTAAATATGGATTGGCCCAGATTAGCATTTTCAAAACTTTTTAAAAGGAAGTGGCCAAAAAAGCTTGGTGTAAAATGAAGATTATATATCTCTCTGTTCAAGATTGACAGTGCTCTTTCAACATTTATTCAGGTAGACTAAGTAGGTCTGGTTTATCACAACACTTGAGACAAAGGCTCTAAACTGAGTGGCGTGCTGTAAACAATTTAGAAGGTCTCAAGTAGATTATAGGGTTCACTCTGGTTCTAGAACTATGTGAACTTGTGGGATAGAAGGCAGCATTTCAGTGTGTTGGACTAATATTCTGTTCTGTCCTCACATTGACTCAGAAGCTCATGCTGTGTGGGACCAGTCTAATTTGGGTAATGTTTAAAACTTTGAAGCTTAAGAGCTAGGCTTTTTTAAAAGTACCCTGTTCCATGTCCACAAACTATCAGTACCACAGAAAGTTCTGCACTACTGAAGAGAGCAAGAGATTAAAATTAGTGGGATAGGGCAATCAAGCGAATTGGAAAATCTCTATAGTGAGAGTCTCTTTGGCTCAAATGAATAAACCTCAGAAAGTGTTGACTTTTTTTTGTATCAGATTTAAAAAAATTTTTTTATATACAGAAACAGCACATTCTGTCTTGGGCTCAGATGCAAATGATGTAGTTATTACTGTTCCATTTGATTTTGGAGAAAAGCAAAAAAGTGCTCTTGGGTAAGTATAATATGGGGTTTATCTTGCTTAAAGGAAATACAAATTTCAATAATATCACTACTAAAAGGTAAAATTGTATTTGAAAATACCTTAGGCAATAAAATTATACTTGTAAACATGTATATATTTACATTTGTAAATACGATAAAAAGCACAGTATTGGGTCATTAATATTTCCTATCTTTTATGAAATGCCAAAAGAACATAAACTTAGATGTACCTTCTTAGCTGTTTTGATTGGAAACGTTTTTAATTACCAAGTTAAGCTGATGTTTGTGAATCACTTTGCACTAGTTTCATATAATTAAGGTTTATGTGGGAATTATATAAAAATACACAACTTTAGAAAATATTTGCGATTATTTTTTTACCTGAGACCTTAACATCTAAACAAAAAGTTACACTTAGTTTTTACAGGTCCTTATGCAGATGGAATTGGTGAGCTTTGCAGATAGAATTCCATATGAGACTTTGGCTAGCATCTAAGTTGCTTCTGACACAGAATTACTTTGTATTCTTGAACTTCTGGGATGTTGAAAAGTGTGGCCCTAAACTAAAGAAACTGGAAAATTCTAAGATGTATTATAAATTTGTCTTAATTTGTTTCTAAAGTTTATAAGCATAGGCATTTTTGAGAACTTTCTTTTCTTTATGCAAAACATTTTGTTTTGTCCAGAAAATAGACTCTGAACATTATTTAAGTAAACAAAACGATTTACAGTTATATCCATTTTTTGTATTTTATTACCTTGATTGTAAAGATCATTACGTTCTCTACCTGTGAAATCTTATTTGCTACTGGATAAAATCTTCAGCAAAGCATATCAAAATACAGACTTGAGCATGTTGTGATATTAAATTCACTGAAAGCAAATTATCCACAGGGAAGCAGCCAGAGCTGCAGGGTTTAATGTTTTGCGGTTAATCCATGAACCATCTGCAGCTCTTCTTGCTTATGGAATTGGACAAGACTCCCCTACTGGAAAAAGGTAAGAAACATATTTACAGCTTTAACTTTTTTAATGTAGTCAACATTTTAAACTATAGTAATTATATCAATAGGGATTGTTACATAATGTAGTGGTTCCAAGCCTTTATGGATGAAAAGACATCAAGACTCTTACCTAGGGTCTTTGAAATAGATAAGAAAGATGTCCTCAGAAAGCAAAGAAAGGATACAACAAGAATGAAGATTGAGCTTTCCTGACCTCTTATCACCCACTTTTGTCCCTTCATTGGAGGAAGATTTGAAATTCGTAAGCCCAGCCCAAGTTCCAGCTCAAGCTAGGGCACTGTTAATTTTACTACCAAGTACAAGTGTTAAATGTGTTTAGAAGCAGTGAGTACTTTTTTGTACATTTGTCTTGACAAGAGATGGAGGAAAATCCAGCATGGGAATTTAAGACATCTTGATAATGAATAATAAGACACTCTCCTAAT